TCATTCAAATAATAAGGGATATCACAAGTCGTTGATAAAGTGTTACAATCAAGAGGGCTAATCACAAGTTTCGGTATTTTTCCAATAGCAAAGCATTCCTTTATATATCTACCTATTTTTGCGTTGTGGGGACCGTTACATGTAAAGATATATTCAAATCTGTCTCCAACATCGAGACTCTTAAAATCTATGGTACTTGATTCGAGAAATATATAAGATAAAAAAAAACAAACCTTAAGTGTGCCATCGCCATGTCTTGAAAAAAGGTTTGGATATTTAAAAAAAAGGAAGAAATTTATTGCCTTGGCTTGTTGGATTAATTGTAACATTACTAGTCTGGTGCCACTTACACGTCGAGATAAGAGAGTGAGAACTCAGTTTAGTCAGCTTTAACTCGCACTAATGAGGACGTTTAGAACCATGAATATTGAAAACAACAGATCGACCCAGTCTTTATTGTTACATTGGTCTTTGCCATTAACCTGTATGTATACTTGTATCTCAGTTTGGACGGCAGAGAAGAAAAACGTTAGGAACTCTTTTGTTAGTTTTCAATAATTGTTACTACATATGTAATTGATAGAAAACGAATATCTCAATAACAGAACAGATAGTTTAACGAGATGTTAAAATTACGTGGCCCTATATCTAATCGTCTAACGTAACGTTAACTTAACATGACTTTCTTGACTGCAATGGTTCAATTTCAGATCAGGTCAAACACGCCAAAGTGACCTGGCCATGGTGACTGCTTTTTCTCGGTCACATCGACCTATCCAAGGTGACCACCTGGCCAACACGGTCGACCGTGACCGCCGTGAGTTGTGCCCGCTTAAGGTCCAAACCTGCCCATGACGACCACACCATTTTTGATCGTGTTGATTCTTTTGTTCGACATAAATTGTTCCATTTGTCACCCTACACACATGGATTAACCACGGAACTAAAGATGCTCCCGGCATTTGACACATTAAACTACCTTTTATTAATCACTTTAAAACAATCATGTCTCAGTCATGTTGTGTGGCTATTCTGTTCAAGGAGACCACCTGTCCTCTGGTCGCCTTGGGCAGGTTATACTGTTCATATATGCAGAAGACAAGGAAACACCCTTCACCATTTTAGACGATCCCAATTTTTTTACGATAAAGATGTTTTTCAAACCCACTCTAGCGGGTAGGTATGGTATTGCATAAAAATACCTTTTAGTTACTGTAAAATAACCTATAACAATTTGCTATGGAAAGAAGAAGAAAAAAAAAACAAAAAACAACAAGTACTGCATCATTGAATGTCTTTTTATTGTTCTCTAACCCTCATACAGGCTGACAGGGAATGTTTCAAACATGGCAAAACGTCTAGGGTACCATACATCAAGGGTTTTAGAAATAATGACGATTTCATACTTATAGTTTCAAACACAACATGAATGCTTCTTGAATATTTCATTTTTTCTGAACAAAAGCAAAATCAGATGTCTATTAATCTAGTATTGATTTGCGAGATCTTTTCTTTTGTAGTCATTTATTTAATCACTTAATTGAAAGGAATAACATTTTGTTGCATATAGATTGGTTCATTTGTTATTTTGATTTTCATTATCATTTGTGTCAGTCAAATATCTGTTTACTGTTTTGTTACTTTGATTTTCTATTTATTGGGCATGAATTATAACTTCTTTTTCAGACATATTATTTCTATTATTTAAATCATGATCTCCAATGCACTTTTATTTCTGTATGCTGATTTTATTTCAAGTTTTTCATAATTTCAGCATAAGTTTTATTTATTATCATTATTGCTAAAAGTAATTATTGTTGTCATTTTATCTTATGATGCTGGACTCTAGAAAGAATAGCATAGAATTTACCATACTAATGGAGATCTCAATAAACAAACAAACAAACAAGCAAAATCAATCTAGATGCCTGGTTAATAACTTTTAAGATAAAATTGTCAATCTAGAGTATGATGAGCTTCTTGAGTGGTGTGTGTAGTTATAAACTGACTACACCTAGCTGCAGATTTAGGAAAATGCAATATTTCTCTTTTACTTTTATTACATTAATACTGGTGTTCTACAGGGGGACCCACTTGCCCCATCCTTATTCATTGTATGTTTAGATTATGCATTACGGTTAGCCATCACAGAAACTGATGGCCTCACCTTGCATCACCGTCGTAGTAGTCGCTACCCGGCAGAGACCCTCCTTGGCCTTGATTTCGCGGATGATATTGCTCTTCTCAAGGACACAATACAACTTGTATAAGACCTGCTCTACAGAGTCGAAACTGCATGTCAAGCCATTGGACTGTATCTCAATTCATCAAAAAATAAATTAATTAATTTTTTTTTTATCCTTGAATCAGCTCTATGCATCTGATGGATCTACAATTGAAAGGGTCACTGACTTAAGATATTTTTGGGGATATACAGATTTCAAACAATGCACATGGAGGTTAGAATTGGGCAGGCATGGAGTGCCATACGTTCTCTCAAAAGAGTCTGAAAATCACGGGTCAGGGAGGAAACAAAAAAAAAGTGTTTCAAGCCTTTGTTGTTTCAATGTTGTTATACGGCTGCGAGTAGTGGAGTATGAATGCTTCACAGGTCAGAAAACTGGATGGTACCTTTATCAAAGATGCTACAGTTCATACAGAACAAACCTTGGTGGAAATTTACAAATAATAAACAACTCTACGGCTCCCTTCCACCAATCACTACAGTAGTCAAGCGCCGTAGGTTAAGCCTAGCCGGCCATGTTACTCGGCATGGCGAACCGGGTGGAAACTGCTTATTTGGTCTCCGGACGCGAAGATGAGAAGAGGTCGTCCAAACTCTACAGTCTACACTAAAGGACATTATTGAGTAAGGGACTGGTATGGACGCATCGAAATGATGTACGATAGAAAACGCTGAAAGCTGAACTATATAAATGCTTCAACTCTCTGAGTATTATGTAAGTATGTATGTATGTGTTAATTTCCTCTACCAAGATTACCAGAGTGAGGTAGAGATTATAATTACCTTCGCCAAGAAGGTTATGTTTTCAGAGGCGTTCGTGTATGTGTGCGTGTGTGTGTGTGTGTTTCTGTCTGTCTGTCTGTCTGTAAACACGATAACTTGAGAAGGCCTTGATGATTGTCTTGATACTTGGTAGGTAAGTAGGTCTTGATGAGACCTCAAAATGATTAGATTTTGGACCCCCTAGCGGCTTGTTATGGTACTGCAGCTGAACTTCCGGTTTTGATATCTCATGATCTGGACATGCTTTGGTGATGAAATTTGGATGGTAGGTAGCTCTTGGGGTAGGAAAGAAGTGACGTGAGTTTGGGCCCCCTAGCGGCTTGCTCTGGAACTGCAGGAATATATTCTTGAAAATATTAAAAAGAGGATAACTCAAGAACCGGTTGACGGATCATCGTGATTTTTGATATGTAGGTAGCTTACGTGATGCTTAATACAATTATGTGACAATTATGCAAATATGGATGTAATTTGCATAATTTATGGGGAAATTCTATAAATCAGCTGCATTCCATGATAAGACAATTAAAGCTTGTGACATTGGTAATTGACAACGAGAGAAACACAGGCAGATATTGATTATGTTAATAATGACTTAATTTGCATAATTAATGAAAAAAAATAATTATTATTTAATGATAACTGTCTGGAATTTCATACTTGTGGTATTTTAAAGTTAATTTGAGGTGAACATCATTAAAAATAATTTATTCAAATCAGGACCTCATTCGCATAATTTATTAGGAAATACTAGAATGCATTGTTTGTTATTACAAGACTGTCTTTTGGTCGAGATTATGATAAAATGATATAATTCATGAAAATTAGGTTCCTATTTGTTAGATCAGGGGGGGAATAATCTAAGGTATAATTTGTCAGTCATAAAGATTAACATCATTTGGCGAAGGTATGAGATCGTGGAACTCTAGTTACCAAATAAGTAGGTTTAAAGATTGAATGACCTATTTAAAGAAAATTGATACAGAGTGAGTGTGGGTAATGGTAATGGTTTGTGTCAAACATTTTGATTCCTCGACCTGTCAGCTGGGTTAGTGTCTGGCAACTTACGGTCGGAAGTTGGCAGGGCGGACCATCATTTTGGACTTTTTCAGATAGCACCGATAGGAGCCTCCAAACGGGTACCAAGCTATGCCCCAGCCACTGTAACCGGTATAGTCAGAGGGGCGCAGGTACGGGCCGTTCAGGGCAGACTTACCACAGTTCTTGTACCACCACCCTCCCGTGATCAGATTTAGACCACCAGCACAGGACCCGCTGGACTTTGCATCACGGTCTACATCCCTAGCACTGAAGGGCTGACCAGAGAGGTAGACAGATGATGATGAAGAGGAGAACCCATCCCCAGCGGTCCCACTGTACCCACTAACATAAAGACGATAGTTGGAACTACTCCCCACCGAGAATGACGAATACTTTGCGTACTTGACCGCACGATTCCAATCTTCCAACTGTACGTACAGCGTATACGTGTGCTGATTTGTCAAACGGTACATGTTCTCCAAACCCAACCACTGCTCCCCATTGGCTGACCCAAACCCGTACCTAAAGGCGTTATAAGGTCGGTTAAAGTCGACAGACCCGTCAAACCTCCTCTGTATGACCGTCCACCCTCCCCCATCTGTGGTCTGATCACAGTAAACAGAGATCGGGCTGGACAGACCTACAGGTTGTATTTTGTAAACTCCATCAGATGCACCACCGTAACCATTCTTGGCTGTGTGGATCTCAGAACAGTCGGAAAAGTAATTTTGGCGCGTGCTTACGGCCGGTGGAGTCGGGTCAGTGTGAGTTGACTGGCCGTCTTTATTGTCTGGCTTCTCGGTTTGGCCCTCGGCCTCAACAGTGAGCAATTCTGTAAGGAAACACATTAACAGTTAACTTTCCCGTCTCTTGTTAAACAGAAAACTGAAAAAAAACTCTGGTTCTAGGCTCAAAGGTACAGGTACACTTAGGTGAGCAACAGTGTACAGTCAAACATGCAAACCTCTTCAAGCAGGCTAACTTGCCATGGTGACCGCTTTTTCTCTGTCCCAAAAATTTTCCACATTGACGCAAGAATTAAGCAACCTGTCCAAGATGACCACCGAGGCCGCGACCACCCTGTGCTTTGTCCGCCTAAGGCCCGACACCTGTCCTAGGTTACCACATCAGAAACCAACCAGTTTGCCTAGACTGCTGGATGATGTTTTGTTCAGCGTAAATTGTTCCATGTGCACCCTTCTCAGATGTATTCACCACAGAAGATGCTTCCAGCATTTGACACAAAAACATCTCGACACGGAAACCAGTTATACCTCAGTCATGTTGTAAAGCGACTGTCTTTTAAGGAGACCACCTGTCCAAGTTGACCATTTTACTTTGGTCCCCTGGGTGGCCGGCCTGGACAGGTTTGACTGTACTTATTCTGTTGTTACATTAAGAAACCCTTTACATTCAACCGATTTTAGGTCAAAACAAAACCTGGCTGCAACAATAAAGTAACCGGCCCACCTGATAACAATAACAATTGATGAGCAAGAATTCGGAAACCTCATACCTACATGAAAATATTTAGAACGTTTGTAATGTCATTTTGTTTTGGGATTTTTCTCAACAATCACGGAGATGTGATGATTACGTGTAGCATAATCTATTCTATATGAAGTTTTCTCAGCTCAAATTGCATATACCAGTTCTAGTGAAAGCCATATCAATTGGCAATGTTTGTTCAAACATTTAATTACAATCATTTATGCAAATTACCTTTACATGTTGATGTTACATTTAACTATACAAGTATTAAATGCCAATCAATACCTGTAAAAGTAGCTATTAATTATGCAAAGTAGGTGTTCATTTCGATAATTTGTCTCCGGTAATGTTCAACGTGCCATAGATTACATAGATTACATGTATCTAAGCCTATAATGTACAATGATTATTTTAAAGAATTCTCTATAAATATTGCAAATTGAGTCCTCATTTGCATAATTCACATTCAATTGTGTACATGTCTGAAAATGTCTACATTCTAAAAATCATAAAAACTCGTCATTTCTTTCTTGATTTATTCGCTTTTATAAATTTCGCTAGAAGCGTCCTTAGAGTTCCAGAACAAGTTGCTAAGGGAACAACCACAACACTTGTTCCTGACAGGAAAAGCTATCCGTCACCAAAAAGTCAAGACCGTAGCACACTCAGAACAAAAGATACAAAAACAGACGTTCTGTTGCATTACCAAGGTCAGCCACTAGGATGACCCTATTTAACCTTGACTTTCGCCTTCCTAAGAACTACCAACATACAGATGTCATCACAATTAATAAAGGCGTTCTGAAGTTTTGCTGACCACAAGTATGCGGAAACACAGACAGACAGACAGACAGACAGGCCGAAAACAATACCAGGACCTAGCCTACATTTTTATGTAGGTAATAAATCATTAAAGCCCACGCACCCAGTTCTTTAATTTGCAAGGTAGCCATGAATCTAGCCAATTTTATCGCGCTAAGGGGAAAAAAGGAGTATTTCACACCAGTTGTCTGTAGGTGGCTGCTAAGGGACTGTACGATATTTAACGGGGGGGGCGGTCGTCCGGGGGTAGCGTAAAAAAAATTTCCTAGGCCCTCCCCCCAGGTCAAAAATTTTTTCCTAGGCCCTCCCCCCGGCTCAAGAAATTTTTCCTAGGCCCTCCCCCCGGCGTGAATGTATAGAGAGTGAAATTTCGTATGGGGAGGACGAGATTTTGATTGAAAATTTTCCCCGCATGAAGCGCCGAAGGCGCGAGCGATCGCGCCGCAGGCGCCACTGGAGCCCGAGTAGGCCCGACTTTTGGCCGGGGGGGGGGGTCATGTCCCCCCCTGAAAAAATTTTTGAAAATTCAACCCATGTTTTGCATGTTGAGGGGCAAATTTGGCAGCATAAATTTCGCTGGTACATCGAGCTATTGAAGTCAGTAACGTTACGGTCAGTCAGTGTAATCGAAATAACATTAAATCTAGCCTACCTTTCGTCCACGAACTTCTTCCGCGTCAATTTTATTACAAACAGGGAAACAATATTGCCAAGTTACGTGTTGTTTTCAATTAACTTTGGAGGGACATAGATATAAATGTTGAAATAGTCCTTGGTTTTAAAAAAATACCAAATTAATACCGTCGATATCCGACATCCACGCCGAGAAGTTTGAGCGAGTCGCGAGGCGGGACCAGCGGGTCACCTTTGCCGACGCATGCACACCACTGGGAAGGGTGTGCATTGAACGGCGAAAATTAATTTTCAAAATCTTCCGACAAGCCTTCCCTACATTTTTGATCGATATCGTTTCCATAGCTGCGATTGACACGACTTTAATCCATGTAATTTGAGTGTGTAGTCCAGTTTCGCCGATTCTGGCGAAAATGCAAGATTTTGAAGAGGACTGTGGGAGATTTGGGCGAATACATTATAATAATAGGGATGGATATTATTGGAACGTAAAATTTTGCCGATTTCAATGACCGGCAAATCGCTACAAAATGTATGGGACAGACGTTAATCATGTTTTGAAAGAGTATAAAAACGTTGTAGAGTTAAAGGGATCTTGAAAAAAAATTTTACCTAGGCCCTCCCCCAAGTTAAAATATGTTTTCCCTAGCCCCCCCCCCCGGGCTCAAAATTTTTTCCTAGGCCCTCCCCCCTCAGACGACCGGCCCTCCCCCCCGGTAAATATCGTACAGTCCCTAAAAGGGACAGGCATTAGAAAGAAAAAATTCCTAGTGCTTCTTGTACTTTAATTTGCACAAAGATCTGGAGGTTAAACAGAAATATCTTTATACATATCAATACCGTTCTTTCTAAAGCTTATACGAACCTTACAAAATTAATGTATCGTTTGATTTGTCAAAACTAAAAGTCAGAAAACAGTGCTGTGGGCATATCAATATTTTTTGTAGGAAAGACTTTGTTAAATGACATAATCGAAAGGATTGGACCATAAATAGATGCAGGTTATAGAATATATATATATATATATATATATTATATTATATCTTAGAGGACACAATATCAGTACACCGCTTGTAAGACTTTGTAAACCATGAGTATAAGCGCGCATGGAATATGCTACTGTTTATTTACTGACTAAGATTCATACAAGAATTAAAATTGCTCTTTTGTCAAGCATATATATGCATGTGTAACGGTAAAAGTAAAGTCTGAGAAGGTGGACCTCAAGTCTGTACTTATGCAAGTCTCATTACATGGAAAGTAAAAAAAAAACTCCTAGTATTATCACATTTCCTGGTGACTTCATTTAGATTAAAAGTTGGTCTACAGGAAATTTATACTAAGATCTCTCTAAAAAGCTGACTTGTTTACACTCTTAAATTGTGGCGGTTGGCTTATAATAATTAAGAAAAATGCCTAAGTAATGAAAATGTGAAGGCCAGAAATACAGACACAAGACTAAGGATCAGCTGCCACAAATTACATTTTAAATTTGGAAGACATACCTGCGCTCTCTGGAACAAAGATTATGTAAATGTTGTAATTTGAATAGAATATAGGACAAATGTTACGTTTTAATAGAATGTAGATTGTATAGAAAAGAGAGAAATACAATGTATAGGTTTGTACAAAACCTTTTCCCTCACTTCATACACTTAAGAACTGTTAGAAAGTTCATATTCCTAATGCAACTAAACAAACCTTCCATTAAAACATATATTTCCCTAATCTGTAACTAAAAAGCGAGAAAAAGTTGAATTCATCTACTAATAGCTATCTTTATTTTGTATATATCTGTTTATCATGTTTTGTTTTGTCCTGTACTTAGCCCAGTGTGCAAAAAATGTACAATAAAGATGGTCATTCTTCTTTTTAAATAATAAGTTGATCAGTGATATTATTAGATATTTAGTCCACTTAAAATGCATATGTGTATTTGATAAAGTGATGAATGAAACATTATGACCAGAATAATTTCATTAAAATTTGACCTATCCAAATGTGATAGAAATTTAAATCACGACTTGCGGTCATTTAAACATATTTCGTTAAATTACAGTAAATTAAATCATAGCTTAACCCTTTTGTTTAGGACTTACCATTCGTGACGTTTCGCTGTGGAACTGTCGATTTCCATGGCGCAACTGGTGTCGGATGAGTGACGGCCGAGTTGTTTGCCTTGAAGGTAAAAGTATATTGGTTCATTACATCCCTCAAGCTAACAAACACCTGACACACAATCGTTCCTCCGTAACATCTGGACCGGCTCGGAGTGAGTAGCTACCACTAGTATACCAGGATTTAAGGTGTAATAAGATGGTACCCTCTACCAGCTCTACCAGAAGTTTATCAAATTCTTCTTTTTCTAGTCGCCTTCCGAAACCTGCACCCATTCACCCATTACAATGCAAAAAATAGAAATAATGACAATACTGTTTATATATAGTATTAATTTCTTTACAAGCTAGCTTGAATTATACTAAGGCCACAGCAAGTAATTATTATGGATGGCATTAATTTTGGAAAAAAAAAACAAGAAATTTGTTGCCCTCTGACAATGGTCAATATGCCGAAAATTGGCAAACAGGTCTGTTGCCTTACCGGAACGTGGATGGCATACGAATAGGGAAGAGAGGAGACAAGAGAAGGCTCTGATTTATTGTTTTGTCTTTTGCTACTACCAAATTGATGCAGTGAAACATTTTAATGGTGGCTGTGTACATGTATATGTGATGTTGCCATTGTATCAAAAACATTTGTACAATGATTAAAAACTTATTTTTCAATGTTGTTGCCGTCACACACGGATATTGCAATAGTTGGTAGCAAACTTAAAACTACGCACAAAATATGTATCATTTCTTGTTTCACAAGGTTTATGATGTCAACATTGAAAATGTAGGAATCTTATATTTTCGAAGGCCTTGTTTTGTTTCTACCCTATCGCCTCGTGTGGGCTGCTTTACCGCCAGTTATGAATGTCGAAATGTGAGATAAATGCACAGAAAAGCAAGTTGAAATAAATTACAAACACATGAATATGTATTTCTTATCAGTTTTTTAAACTTTTGGTGGAAAAATGTTTAGTAATGCCCCTTAAAACTTGTCTATGCAACAATAAGCGTTGGTACAGCCATTCAAATTAAATTTTTGGTATCTCCAAAACATGTTGAAATGGGGAATTATGTCGTAAACTGTCAGACCCTAAATCGTCCTTACACTTCTAGCGAAACTTAATATTCGAAATACAAAATTACGAAATAATTTGGGTTTTTTGTACTGTAGACGTTTTGGTGTTGATTTTATCACTATAAGAATACTTCTCTACAGCATAATGCCAACAAATACAAGTACATTTTGTACACCTTTTAAGTAAGAAGCGGGCTTAAAAAAATAAATAAAAACGCCGAAATATGTAAAAAAAAAAGAAAATATGTAAATAGTAGGAAATATGTAAAAAGTGGGCAAATAAGTACAGAAAATCGCACCTGTGGACATGTACAACCCTGACAGCTCGTGTAAAAGATCGCAAGGAAAATGATGGTCGATAACACCAGGTTAGCAGCTGTCACGGCAGTAAGTTTAATCCACATCTGTCGACATTTACATCCTGAAAAATGGTCATTATAGCAACATCAAAGCGACATCAACAAAGCATGCCGGCAGAACGTACTGAGTCTACGTGAAGCCCGAAATGTATTGTGCACAGCGCGTCAACAGAACGTCTTGTTTAGGACCGTAATTGGGTATCTAAGGATGACATCACGTCAATAGCCTTCAAACATTGTGTTTGAAAAGATATAGTCAAAATTCTAATGCAATGCCTACTAAGCACGAAAACCCTGAAATGTACAGGTTTCACACAATTGCAACCGCAATAAGTTCTGCCGACGTGCTTACGCTTATTAATCAATTTTACTCCAGTGCTAGGTTTTGTAATATGATCAATGTTTTATTTCTTATCTAACATTTGAGGGTTTTGTTACCTAGCACACAATAGACCGCTTCTGTTCCTTTTTTAATAGTCATTGCAGGAGATCAATGGCCATTCAGACCGACGTAGGAATATGGGGATCTGTCAAATCAAACCATACTTTGTACATGTTATAGATATGTAGAACTATGAACAGCCATATGATTAAAACCGTTTTTTTTATTGCGGAACCCCCCCCCCCTCGCAGACCCTAAAATGAATCAATTGATGGCTGAAAATTTCTGAAATTGCCATTGTCACACTTATAATTGGGATAAAAATAAGAAGATGAGATTTATATTTTCATATACAATGTAGCACTGGTTCTTTTGTTTTACAGAAGGAAAGTTGAAGATAAAATGTTGGAGTTGGAAGGTTGTGTGTTGTCTGGACCATTAAAAGTCGACTCTCTTTTAATTTTGGTCATTTTTAAGTGGCATTATGTCCCCTGGACCTGGGCAGTGGCTTTGGTAAATGATTTCAGTGTTGCTGGAGAGAGGGACATCATGTGATTAATAACAAGCGTCGTAAATTAGGGGTCCCTACATCTCCCGAATAAAAAAAAATACATGTTAGTTCGTATTTCCACGTACATATTATATTTGCAAAGTATGAGTTGATTTGGCCGATCCCCATCTCCAAACCTCTGGTTTGCCTTGTTTTCTCGTGCAATGACTCTTAAACACCTCCGTCTTAATTTGGCCGATCCCCATCTCCAAACCTCTGGTTTGCCTAGTTTTCTCGTGCAATGACTCTTAAACACCTCCGTCTGAAATCAGCGCGGGAATTTCTCGCGTGAACATGTTTGCTTCAGTAAAAATATGCCAGCACCTCCCAACAACCCAATGAAAGTTGTGGTCGAGGTTGAAGACGTTTCGGCGCGGCCTTTCCCGCGCTGATTTTGATGGAGGCGTTCAAGAGAGAACAAGGGGCGGGACTTATGGTTTTCAATCAGAACACAGCAGATTATTGCCATCTGTACGTGCATGTATGAGGTGTTTATGATGTGACGGATTTTCTGCTGCCGTACATTTTGATTGTAGCGAAAAATATTAGTCAACGCTGTAGTTTTCTTTACTAAGAACTGAAACTCTCCCTACTGATATTATTTTTGAAAGGCACCTCGGGCATATGCATGAAAATTTATATAACAACAGTCTTACAAAAGATTCTTTTATTATTTTTCTGTTCCTTCTTAGCCAGGAATAAATGGCTCTGTTAACATGGAAGCAAAATGACCTGAAATTTGGTACGGGTGTGTTATGCACTTATGTGCATTTTGTTCTCTATCTGTTAAAGACATTGCAAGAGTACTATTACCCATTTGTAACAGGGCTTCTTGCACTCGCGTTGTCCTGACTTAAAAATGGACTTCTATTTCTGTCCAGCGAATGTAAGAAGCCACGCTACAAATAGCACGACACCCAGACAAAGGGAACTGGCCTTCAATCCGATCTTTTTTTTTTCTGTTTTCTTGTCTAGTTCTATTTCCACCACCATTTCTCTTCAATATTTCGTTTAATTATCTTGTTCTTGATCATGATTATGATAACGTTGTGATTTATTTTTATGCATTTTTTACATATTTCACTGGTGGCTTTGATATCATTAAATTGATTTTTGTGTATAGTGGATCTCGCAAATTTAAAATATCGTAAAAAAAATCAGATATCTTATGACGTTCAAACACGAAGCATCAATTACACACATGCCATAAAAATATTTTCTGGTCAAATAAAGGTAGAAGGTTAAATAAAGGTAGAAGATTTTTCTTACCACCGGTTGTCTTCGGCTGCCCAACGTTGTTGTTGCTGTTCTCATGCGTGTTTTCCGTGCTAGGCGTGTCATCCGGACAAGGTTCAATGTTTTCAACACCAACTTCTTGATCGATTTTCCTCCCGCTCTCAGCTGCAGTTGAACTTGCGCCGTTGTTACTGCAATCAGTTTCCTCGTAGAAAACGGCGTAAGGGAGAATGTCATCACAGTTATCAGCCTGAAGCTCATCTGGTGAGTCGGGTTCAATATTGTCATTACTCACGGTAACTTCGACTGTCTTTCCGCTCTCAGCTGCAGCTGCATGTTCGTTATTGTCACTACCATCGTCCTCTTGAATGCCGCCACAGTTATCAGCCTGAAGCTCATCTGGTGAGTTGGGTTCAATATTGTCATCGCCTACAGTAACTTCAAGTGTCTGTCCGCCCTCAGCTGCGGCTAAACGTGCGTTATTGTTACTGCCACCGTCTCCCTGACTATCAGCCTGAAGTTCAGCTGCAGAGGAAACAGCTGGTTCGTACATCGGATTCAGGAACTGTGGATTCAGTACTTTATACGCGCGTGGGTGGAGGTTTGACTGCGAGTTCATCGGATACAGGTAATTTTTGCCAGTTGGGTTTGTGGAAAGCGGTGTGTCCTGTATGTTATGGTCATCCCCGGCACATGCAGAGGTGTCGGCATCGTCACTGGGTGATTCCTTCTGTTTCACTGCATCAATTGTGCTGCAGGAAGGCATTTCCACTTTTTGACAGCTTTCCGTCCGTTTCGACGCCTCTAATGGTGTTTTGCGGTGTGCCATATCGTCCTTGCTTTTAAACTCAACTGAAGAAGGTTCACTTACACAACTCCCAGGTGCTCGACCCGATCCAGTATCTAAATTTGAACTTACTTGGATCATCCAGCCTCTCGCTCTCGCTGGTGCGATGTAGGAGTTGCCTGCAAATGCTATAGACGATACGGCAGCTACTCCAGTTGAATATACAGAGGTACAGATTGGTCTATGCAGGTTCTGTCAGGCTGCAACTCCCTTGCTTGTTCGGTTTGTCCTTTGTGTTTGTACTTTGAATTGCCTCTTAAAAGGGGTCAGTGTTCATAGAATTACGGGCCGATACTGGATTATTGCTTTTTTTATGATTTCTTTGTTACCTACACATAAATGGAACTTCAATGTTTTAAATGTCTTAACTCTGTCCTTAAGGCTGCATGGAACAGAGGAAATGTCAACATTACATTTTTTTGAAGAAAACCTGCATATTTAAAGGACTGATTGTCTGTTTGGGCCAAGGACATTGAGTCTCTAAAGAGCACGATATACAAGTGTTTGTTTTTGAAGGGGCCGGGAGGGGTGGGGAGGAGGGAAATCACTGGTGGATTTGTCTTGGGGCTATCTTTTGGGGGGATCATTTTCTATCGCTGGGACACTGGTCAGGATGGATTTCTCTAATACATTTGCTATAAAACAGATTGGATTCCGGAAAAAAACTAGCGGCAGTAGTTTAATTTAAACAGGGTTAACCCCCAAACACCCGAACGGGGTCCAATTGGACTCCAAGCGTATTTTTTTAATGTGATATTTGAAAATTTTTGATTCGAAAAAAAAATTCCTCCCTTGACTTTGTCAATAAAGCTCTTCTTCAAGTTCTCCTATTTTTTTATGTTTATGCCACACCAACTAAATTTTATGGATGACGTCCGCACGCGCATTCATTTTGGCCTGTTCCTAGAAAAAAAAAAAGAAATTCCGCTTCCTGTAACTACTGGTATGACCAAAGAGTCACGACAGTGCCGCAAATCGTTAGGTTGACGTGAAACCCGTAACGCGAAATGGGTAAAGAGCACATGCTTTGTTTCTGCAGGCCTGCAACAATGTGATGGAAGAAACAGGACAGGACGATAACTGCTGTTCAACCTGATTTATTGCTGTTTTGATGATGAATAAAAGACTTCTTGCTTGTCACACTGTGTCACCTCATTCAATTTGTGTCCTAACATTTGTCGTCTCTAAGTATATTTCTAATCTAGGTAGCTTGTTTTTCAGGGCCCTTCTTGTTTTTTTCGCCCCCCTCGCATTAGATTTAGGGTCTCCAAAGGACGTCATCCATAAAATTTACTTGGTGTGGCCTTACAGATCGGCACAAATTTGCAAAAATAACAACGGGAAGTCTGATGTAAGACCGTCCGGGGTCCAAACGGATCCCAGACATATTTGCACTTTCCTACACACGAAATTGTGCAGTTTGGCAAGTAACCTCAACGTCAGGAATTAGGTTATCACGTTTTCAGAGGTAATGACCTTTGACAACCATATGAGGTCAAAGGTCAACCCCAAGATCATGCCTACAGGCCTCATCCTATTTTTTGCATAAATTATAACAATGAGCTGGAATTTTTTTTACACTTAATCATGCTGAAATATACCTCTTACTATGTTTAACAAATATATGTGCAAAGATCGCTGAAAGAAACCATTTGGACCGCGTTCGGTCATTTCCGTCACAAAAAACGTTCGGCTATTTGAGGGTTAAGTAAATACATAGATCATAGAACTTCCTAAAACGTCACGTCAGACGCCAGACAAAAATACAAAGCATCCGTTTTGTCAAGAATTACATTTAAGTACTCAGTCTGCAGTATTGTTTGGACTTAAAATATTCACATTTGCCTATAAAACAAATTAAATCTAACATCAACAAATGGTATTTAAATACAATCAAATGTTTAAAATTTCTTAAATGTAATTCCAGGCTAAAATTTTTGTCTGTCAACCTTACTAAGAACTTCTCTTGCCCAAATGTCAGTCAAATACAAATGTGTCACTGCACTGAATGAACTACCACTAGCCCTAAAGATGTCTACCTTTTTTGTTGTCCAAACGAGCTCTGCAAAAACTATCTGATAAACCAACCTAGCCCCCTATAATAGTCTCATATAATGTTTTTTTTTTAATTTTAACATGCATGTATACCAGTAATTGTTATTACCATTATTGCATCGCATTTATTATCTACTTTAGATTACTTCATCGTCATTTATTTATACCGAATAGATTATTATTTGATTATCCTCATTGTATTATTTCTATTTTACCTGTAAATTATTTATCGATTATATTTAATTTTGATTAGTTTAGAGGAGGAGCGCCTTGTATAAGCAATTTTTTCTTCTTCCCTCCTCCTGTACCTGTTTTTTATCCTTGTTTTGTATTATTTCTTTCTGTGAATTTTTGGTGTGCCAAAAAAATAAATAAATAAAAAGAATCCATTTGTACAGATGAAGATCAACAATGCAATGGCATGTAGTCCTATCAAAAGTGTCTAGTTGTAGATGTCGATATTTGTAACTGGAAAATGTATTCCATACAGCTGAATTAGCTTTGATACTAAGTCTGTCCGGAAATCTGTACTGTAATTGTTGCCCATTTGGTAGTCTTAACCCTCAAACCACCGTAGTTTTTTTTTGCGACAAATCTTACCGTATGAGGTCAAAACTGACCCCATAATGTTTTGCACGAATAGAGTTTTTTGTGGCTCTTTTTTGTGACTTTTGATATGTATAGTTTCATTAATCTATGAGGTACAATTTGACCTGTCTGCTCATTATCATAATTTATGCACCTAAAACAAGATGCATACAGGCAGCCATGTCGATGACCTTTGACCCCAAGCCCAAAGGCAATTAACTATAGGTCTAGGGTATAGGCAACTGAGTATAGGGTATAGGCAAGGACGTCTAGGGCCAGAATTACTTTTATGCTTTAACGTGTTGAGGTCATTCAAATGGCAACAAAAAAAAAAAAAACAAGCAAACATATTATCTGACAAGTATTGCCGCCCAACAACTCCAGAAAGAGGTTTTTCTGGCAAGGAAGGAGCTGAAAAATATCAGGCAACAGATAGAGACTCTGAAGCGTGTACAGAAGAAAGAAGTTGTCAAAATTCAAGAAATGGTCCGTCAGAAAACCTGTCCCCAGGAACTCCTGCATTTTGAAGATGCTGCTATTGGAAGACCCACTATACCAGAAGGTACAATTATGAGTACTCTAATTGGACATCTGGAGTCTTGCTTCAATCACACGGCTGGCACTCCAAGGCAGCCCACCATTTGTGACCTGTCCAAGGCCAAGCTCACCATCTCCAGAAGCATATTCAATAACCCAGAGCACTCACTGGAGGGAATTGAAAGGTTTTCACACATATGGATCATATTTGTTTTCCACATGAATGATGGAGAAGCAGTAAAGGCGAAGGTGAAGCCTCCGAGGCTGGATGGGGTCAAAGTAGGTGTGTTTGCAACAAGGAGTCCACACAGAGCAAACCCAATTGGGCTAACATTGGCAAAACTGGACAAAGTAGAAGGTGACACTTTACATTTGTCAGGCATAGATATACTCGATGGAACGCCCATCCTCGACATCAAGCCCTACATCCCTGTATATGACGGGGTGTCAACTGACTCAACAGCTTCTTCTACTGAGGAGAAAGCAAATTTTGGATGTGTTGGACAGAACATAGCTGAGAAATATATCTCTGCAGAGGACACAGTCTATGTCAGAACGAACCTCAGCTTCTCAGAACCACATCAGAAAACTCCTAAAGACGATTCTACTGATGACACTTTAAAGGATGAAAGCAAGGATGTAACCCGGTACGAAGAGAACAGCAGGAGTGGAAATGTTTCAACATCAGAACGGGTCACTGTTGCCAGTTGGGTCACATCTCCACCTGTTCAAAAACTTCACGTTAGCTTCACCCACAATGCTGAAGCAACACTTCAGAAATTCCATTCTAAAGGACATGGCCCAGATGTCTTCACCCTTACTTCCTTCAAGGACGGTGAAGAAGTCAAGAAAGCCATCTGTGACATCCTTAGTGCGGACCCGAGGTCTCCCTACTTCAGGAACAAGTGTCAGGACCGGCTGTACTTCTTCACTGTCGACAACGTCCACGTGACATGCTGGTTTGATGGGAACCTTGCAGAGGTCACTAGAGTTCAGCCAGTGTCAATTGTTAGTTATGACCCTTTGGGTGGCCCTCAGTGAAGTGTACAAGGCATCTATCATGCTTTGCCAAAAAAAAAACAGGTCCTTTTGTTTACATATGGGGTATGATATATAATTGCCTTTTCTGAATTCATTGCAGTCAGATATTATATAATTGAGGAATATTTCTTCACACAGGCCAGAAGAAAAATAGAAACAAGACAAAAGATCTACAAAAAAAATATTATCTGGATGACATATTGACGACAACACTGGAATACCCATAAACTTACTATCATAACTCGATCAAGAATGTTCCAATCTCAGTAAAACGTATGGGAAGTTATAAGACATAGAAGGATTTTCTATTTTTGACGAGAAATGTCAAAATGGCACGTATTCATATACGTCTGGGTCAGTTTTGACCCCACACGGTAAGTTAAGGGTTAAAACAACAGTGTTCACGTAGACTAGAGCTCCGCCAGAGCTGCACATTATATGTAACAGAAAGCAAATGTCAGACTCTACCAGGCATACAAGCCAGACTTAGTGTTGTCAGTACATTCTACATTAAGTAAGATCATCTTCTTACAACCGTACTTCAATTCTGTTGTCTATTGATTTTAAGTGTCTTGAAGAGTAATTTGTCTATGTTCCTGTCTTAGTCAGGAATCTGCCCATTTTATCTCCATAGTAGTCAGATGTATACTGAGGTCTGAATCCACCTTTGTCTTAGTATAATATATTTAATTTTATCA